AGTTTAATTTAGGGAGTATAGTCATTTTAATTACTGATATTCTGCCCATAATAGATAGTGGTAGGTTCATCCAGCGTTGAAGATTATCGTCTATTGTTTTAAATAATGGAGTGTAGTTGAGTCCAAACAACTCTGACAGCCTGGGGGAAACATTAATACCTAGATATGTGATGTAATTGGTGCACAGAGGAATCGGTGGTGTATGGGATGCCACATCCAAGCTGGTGGAATGTAATGAAAGAATTGCAGGTTTACTCCAATTGATTGAGTATTCAGAAATATTTGGGAATGAGTCAATGAGTTTAAGCGTTTCTTGTAATGATGATGGGGGGTCTTGTTAATATAATAATATTTCATCAGCATAAAGACTTATTTTGTGGTGTATATTTAGTGTTTGGATTCCTTTTATGTTGCCGTTTTGACGGATGGCTGCTGCTATTGGTTCGATGAAAATGGTGAATAGTGAAGAGGAGAGTGGGCATCCTTGTCTAGTCCCCCGGTGCAGTGTGAAGCTATGTGATGTTAGTCCATTGGTGATGACAGTGGCTGAAGGTCATGTATACAGAATTTTTATCCAATCAATGAATGACTTTCCAAAACCAAACCTCTCTAGTGTGGAAAACAGGAATTTCCAATTGACTCTATCGAATGCTTTTTCTGCATCGAGAGGGACTATGATGGTTTTGTTTTTTTTAATTGACGAGTAATACATTAAGTTAAAAAGTCTGCGTGTGTTGTTAGATGCAAGTCTACCTTTTATGAAACCAGTTTGGTCTGGATGGATTATAGATGGTGTGACTTTTTCTATTCTATGGGCTAGTGCTTTGGTGATGGTTTTAATGTCTACATTGATGAGGGAAATTGGACGATATTTTGCCGGTAGTGTTGGGTCTTTATTGGGTTTGAGAAGGAGTGACATTGTGGCTGTGTTCATGTTATCTGGGAGTTTTGATTTTTGTTTTGATTCATTTATCATTCGGATGAAGAGTGGTGATAAAATAGACCAAAAGTGTTTGTAGAACTCAGCGGGGAATCCATCAGGACCTGGTGCTTAATTGTTCGGGCATGAGTTTAAGGGCATTAAAGATTTCTTGTTCTGTTAAAGGGGATTCAAGAGTATTTATTTGCTATTTACTAAGTTGAGGTAGGTTGATATTGTTGTGAAATGAATTGATGTCTTTCTGAGTCGGGTCTTTTTCAGAGGAATATAATTTACTGTAAAAAATTTTGAAAGATTTGATTTATTTCTTCTGGTGAATCGGTGGACTTCCCGGCTGTGTCTGTAATAACTGGTATTGCTGTTTTTTCCTTATTTTGTTTGATTTGATTTGCCAAATATTTACCGGATTTGTTACCGTGATGGAAGTTTTCTTGTCTTAGCCTATGAATTAGGATTGGGTATGTTTATTGATTAATTCATTTAATTTAAATGTACATTTTCTTGGTGTGTCCTGTGTTTCTTCTGTTGGGTTATTTATATTGATGTCTTCAAGTTCTTAGATTTTTTTTGTTCCAGTTCAGCTTGTTGTTCCTTCTCTTTCATTTTTGTGTAAACGGAGAATGAAATGATTTTTCCTCTTAGTACTGCTTTCCCTGCTTCCCACAGAAGAGATGGAGATGATCCGGGGAGTCCTTCGTCTCTAGAAAGCATGCACACTCTCTTTTAAAATAGCTGTCAAAGTCATGGTCTTTTGGAAGAGATGTGTTAAATCGCCATCTAGTAATGGGTTTATGTGGACTAGTTATATTCCATTTTAATGTTATTGGGGCATGATCACTAATAACTGGATGGATCTTTGATTGAGAAATATTTGATATGATAGAATTACTGGTGAGAAAGAAGTCACTACGGGAATATGAGTGGTGGACTGGTGAGAAAAATGAGTATTCTTTAACGTTAGGATGCTGTAGACGCCAACCATCGCCAAGACCAAAAGCACTCATGAACTGTTTTATGGTTTCTGCAGATTTCCAGATACGTTTATTGGCCAAACTGTTAGATCTATCGATTGTTGAGTCTAAAACTGTGTTGAAATCACCTGCTATTATGACTAGACAGTTAGAAAAATCTGAAATGGAAGAAGAAAAAAAAAGCTCTGGAAAAAAGATGGGTCGCCTGTGTTTGGGCCATATAAACATATTATTAATTGAGATGTTTATGATAATGAAACGTCCCTCAGGGTCTATAACGGTGGTGTTATGAACAAATTATGAACAAATTAGATTTTTTTTTACTTATTAGAATGCATACTCCTCTCTGTTTTGTGTTGTAGGGAGCCAAGAATAAATGATTGTACTTAGATGATTTAATTTAGTTATGATCAGATTCTGATAGATGTGTTTCTTGCAGAAGGCATATGTCGGGTCTGTTCGTACTGTATGTGTATAAATGTGAGTGTATGTATTCGAAGGGGTATGGCAGTGCGTATGTGTGTGTGTGTATAACAATGCAATGTTGTTAGCAGACTGACAAAACTACAGATACATAATTTACAGAATGTACACAGCAGGACAACAATAAAACAAAAACCATTAAATACAAAGATATAGTGGAACATGGGGAGGGGCACGAGACCTAGGTGCAAAAACAAGAGCATATCTTATAGATTAAAGAAAGAGAGAGAGAGCGAGAGAGATCAGTTTATCATAATGCAGTTATTGACTCAGGAATGAATGGAAGTGAGGTGTTCAGAAAAGCCAGGGGGTAATGTCCTTATCGCGATATAGTTGTCCCTATGTATAATTTGTCCACTGTAAGTGTACTAAGCTTATATTTAATATTATACTACAATACACTACAGTTTACTGTAGTAAAGTTTACTACAGTATATATTACAGTTTATCAGTTCACTATACAGTATGCTGTAGCATTCATTAAAATGTGTTCTATAATACTATCATGTGTACAGTACAATACACTTTACTATAGTATGGTTTAATTCAGCACAATAATAGCGTCAAATAAACGACAAAACAGACGAAAATCAGTCCGAATCAAAAATCATTTTCTAAAAATAACACCAGTCCGATGTTGCCTCAATAAGACAGATGTCATCAGATAATGAACAAGAATTCGCTGTAATTGTGATAGATGTGATTTTGTGTAATGATATTTGCGGTCTGAAAATACGTTCCCTGTAGTTCCCTGTAGTTATGTGATATTTGCAATCAGAGCTCTCCTTTTCTGTAGGGCGAAGTGTAAAGATGAGGCGATACAGGCGTAATCATCTCTTTTCATTTATCAGGAGCGGTTTAACATAACATAGCCTAACTCTGTGCTGCATCTCTGTCAACTCATTCAAGTGTTTGTGAGTGTCATAGTATGTTATTCCGTATAACTCCACTGTGTCACATTTATGCTGATCTCAACACTCTGATTGTCTCTTATTAACACACGCTGAATGGCACATAGAGAGCGCCACCTACAGACAGGCCAGGAAACTAAGGTAACTAAGAAATCTCCCAGTAATAACCAGCTGTGTTCACTTACATTCTTATTCTTCAGTTCTAATATTAGAACCGGCCGTCCACATGACAGCGTCCACCGACGTGACCAAGAAGAAGAAAAGCAAGCAGTCAAGCGAGGACGCCTTGAAGAAGGTGAACACTAACCTGCTGAACAGCATCTTTGGACAGGTATCTCACACGCCGTCACTTCTGCTCTTGTGTTTGCAGTCTGTAGTGAGATGGTCTCTTGTGTCAAGCTGATCAACTTCTGTTCAGCACACAAAGTCCACACGACCTGTGTGCTTTATTCGAAGTATTCTGAAGTCATATATGATAGACTTCAGAAATCAGAGCACTTGGAATAAAGCACACAAGTCATGTGAACTACTGTTATATATCACATTAAATCATATTAAACAGTCATATTATATCGTGTAAACAGTCTCACTCCCTATTATGGAAAAGAGCTGTCTGGACATTCTGCTGAACGTCTCCTTCTGCACTTTTTACCATTTCATTTACAAGAAATCATTTCTCTTCTATTGATGCATTTGTCTCCATGTGTTTTTCTCTTGTTTTATTTACTTGGAGCATCTTGTTTTGTGGAATCTGCTCTTCAGATCATTGTGTCTTTTATTAAAACAGCACAGAATCATCAATCAATGAGCAATATTTTGGGACCCTTTGTCCAAATAAAACTCTAGCTCTGTTTGTTTTATCCCGTCAGACTGAGCGTCTGCGTTTACATTCATTTAGCAGAGGCTTTTATTTAAAAGTGACTTAGAAAGGAGGAACATTACAGGGAATTTGTCATTAGAACCAACACAATTCCAAATACACAATGCCAAGTTTGAGTTATCGGTGAGTACACAGATTCAGGAAGAAAATCTAAAGTGCTTGAGAAGAGATCTCAGCAGAAATGTGTATGCAGTATTATGCCGTTAATGGTTGCATTGCATTACAGTAATGAACTGCAAACACGTCTGCCAATTATTCACTGTAATTCTTGATTTACAGTATATGACTGTCAGCATTGTTGCCAGTTAGTTACCATAATGCCTCCGTTACAGTAATTAACAGCCAAACACTGTTGCCAGTATTTTACTGTAAAACAATCCTGGTAAGGTCTAACAGAGTAAAGATGAGGACATAAAATATTATTTGACAAGTTTTTTTAAAATCTTCCCCGTTTATTATCTTAAATCCATGACAGTGTTCAAAAGAATTGTTCTAGCAACAGGACAAACACTTCAACGTCATTACTATTAACAGTGAAGTCATTTACAGTAAATACAGCCAATAACTGAGGTACAGGATGACAGCAGTTGCATACCTGGATGAGCGTGTGGCGACTGACCAATCAGAATCAAGTATTCCAGAGAGCCGTGTAATAATTAACGTTAACTAATCAAACCTTATTGTAAAAGTGTTGCCATTATAATTGTATTAATTTAATGTCTGCCTATAACCTGCAGTGTTATGAGCGAAACTATATGATTGTCCATGATTCATTGTTTTATGGCTGATGGTGTTGGTTCATGTTTTTTGCTGCAGTTTTGTCTTGTGTTGCTGTGAGACTGTATTTGTCTAATCATCTGCTCTTCTTAAACAAATGTGTATCTTAAAACAGATTTATTTTAAGTCAACCGTTATTTATTATAGTGTGTACGTTGATGTAGTCCAGGAGGATTCAGATGTGCAGCGCTTGTGACATTGTAAGATCGGATGAAGTTGTCATAAATTGACTTTTGGTTGAATTGATGATGCTGTGTTCAAGTTGTATGTTTTAGAAGTACACATGATTACTAGGAAACAAACCCATGAGCTTGATGTTCCCAGCACCATACTACATCTTAATAGATTTCTGTAGTTTGTAGGTGTAAGATGTTATTTTATTGTATATACATCCTTCTGTTTAAACTGCATTAGTCAGGCTTTCTGAGCTGTTATTAAAGGCTGTCTGGACTTTACAGCTGATTCTACAGGTTTGGGATTATCACTGGACTCTGCAGCTGATTCTACAAGTTTTGGACAATCCAGGATTCTAAGTGGACTCAGATCACCAACACCGGGATTGAAGAGAGGAACGACTGATCCAGAGAATCTGCTGCTGATGGTCAGGAGATGTTTACTCTCTGTGACGTTGTAAAATGACAGCAGACCCTCATCATAATCGAACAGAACTCCCAGTCGCTCAGGTCTCGGTGTCAGTGAGAAGCTAATCGATGGATCAGTGTTGGTGTAAAAGCCATGAGGACCGTCTGAACACAAGAACCAGAAACCAGCTGATGGAGTTAAAGCAGATCTGTCTCTTGCAGTAAAATGTCCATGTTTCACCACACCGATTAACCAGAAGCTTTTGGGAGCTGTATGTTCTAGTGCCAGCTCTACCTCCCAATAGTGACGACCAGAGGTGAATCTTTGGGCTCCAGATGCACATAATTCAAATGGAAATCCCTCTCCAGTGTGTTTATATTCTGGACGATCCTTCACCATTTTACAGTCCTTAGAAAGCATCAGACCTGGATGTAAAGCCTCACGGTCAATAGTGATCTCAACTGTGAGGAATAAATACACGAGCAACCGTTATTAATCCTCTTAAACTCTATGTATATGTGCATGTGTTTATAATCTATGGACATAAAAATGAGATATTGCCACACCTGCATGTTTCCTCAGTTCCTCTATATTGATGTCTTCCACAACTAAAATGAAAAACAATTTGAGATTTTAGAGAAAGAAAACTTCAGCTGTAATTGAGGACATCTACAAATAGCATCAATATATTAAGAAATAATGAGTTTTACAAACTTTTATGCATTGTTAATTCCCCATATTTGATTATGTTCACATTAGTTCTGGTATACTGTTAAAATACACTGCAAAAAAAAACAATACAGTGGAAAAAAAAAACAATACAGTGGAGCCCAAAAGTCTGAGACCTTGAAAATCTGGGATATGAAATTCTACATTTGGAAATCTTACAAAAAATAAATACTGTGACATAAAATTAACTCTAAGTACAGACAGACAGATTTTCTTGCTTCCACTGGAACACAAGATGCTCTTTTTGTTGATAAAATAATTTATGAAAGATGATATGAAATTATAAAAATGCAAAAGCATTTTGACTATAATTGTTCTTGCTATGAAACCAAAAAATAACTGTCATCTTGTTTTACTGTGACTTACTGTGAGCTGAGGTTGGACTCAGTGGATTTTATAGACTTATTTTCTGACAAACCGATTCTTCCATCATCATCTGAACTGTATGCCGGTCCTGTTACATCTGTCTGCCCTGAGCTGTCTGCCTGCCCTGACACGACCATGGAGGTCGTTCCCCTACCCGCTGCGCTCGCTGTGTTAGGAGTCGCACCATCTCTGAACCTCCTGACTGTCATGAACTCCCACCTCTTCTCAAGAGTCATCTGCTATGTTCTGCACCACTGCCGTTGCATTCTGCCAGCCCCTCAGCTCACTCTCAGCCCACCATCATTGATTTGGGTTCGCCGTGGGTCTGGATGATCCCTTGTCTCTGACCTCGGCCCATCGATCCAGCGGCTCCACCATGGTTCCTACCTCCCTCACCTCCACCGTGGCCTGTCAGTCCACCAGCTCCACCTCCTCCCTTCGTCCCTTTGGCTCCACCTTGGTCCTCTGTCACTCTGGCTCCACTGCGGCTTTCCAGATCCCCGTCTACGCCTCGGTTGCCTGAGCCATCTGCTCCGCCTAGGCCCTCCGGATCCTCCGCGTCGCCCTGGCTCTATGGCTCACCGCCTCCACCCTGAGCTCCTCTCCCACCTGCTCCGCCACTGTCAGCCGGCCCCCTGGAGTCATCAGCCCTTTCTCCATGGCTCCTCCCTCCATCGGCTCCACCGTGGGCCGCATTCCTGGCTGCAGTCTGGGTCCCACCTGGCTCCTCCTGCTCCAAGTCCCTCCTGTCTTCTTCCTGGCTCCTCCCTCCGTCGCCGCCACCCTGGTCATCTGCCTGCCTTTCTGCCTGCCCTTCGCCCTCCCCTGTTACCATCCCAACTCCACTCCTTTGTCCTCCTCCTAAGTCCCCTCTGTCCCTCCATTGTTGTTTTGTTTACGGCGCGAGGTCGCGCCTGGCCGGAGGGGGGAGTACTGTCACCATATGGACCTTGTATCTGCTCTCCTGTTTTGTTTAGTGACCTAGTTTTCCTTAGTTCCCTTGATTAGTTCATTCTGTTCACCTGTGTCCTGTTAATTTAGTCATTAGTTAGCCCTCTCTTGCTTTTGTATAAGTACTCCCCGTTTCTGTTCAGTCCTTGTCGGATATTGTATTGTCTTTGTGTATGCTGCTTGTGTTTCCCAGTGTTTTGTATGGATCTTCTTCTTCTTGGATTCTTATTAAATGCTATATTGGAGTATCTTTGTCTTTGTGTGCCTTCCTTCCTCAAGAGCGTGACAACTTCAGCAGCTACAGTTCCTGTAAGTATAGCAAAGAACTAAACGTCTTCAAATACCTTTTTTCCTCAGTTTCTCCAGAATTCCCTCCTCACAATCTAAAACGAGAGAAAATTTCAAAGGAAAAGTTAATTATTAATCTGCTTCATAAATACTCCAGACTCTATAAACCACAATAAATGTAACCCTTTCAGGCAGAAATTTCATTTAGACTATCAGTTGGGTTCTAATTTCTTAGGCTCAGGGTCAAAGGTAATTTCTAAAGTGGTTTCTCTAAGTAACCCCTGCACTCCAGCTCATTTGTGTTAAAGCACTGTGAGGTCATTCTGTCAATCCAGTAACTTGTTTCAGTTTTTGGTTTGTCTGATACAAGCATCACACTGCTCGTAATGTTCATCTATTTTGTGCATCAACTGGCATAAAAATAGGAATTTCTTTAGTTGTGTCAGACTTTCAAAACAATCAGATCAGATAATGGCAAATATTCTTGATTATCTTCTTTTAATAAGAAAAAAAAGCAATGGTTTGTGTTACTCTTGTATGGAGCCTATTTAGTGGCTTTGGTGCAAAACCTTCACATTTTACCTAAGAAAATTAAAACTGCTTAATTTGCTTCATGGTATTTATTCAGTAGATTGTCACTCTGCAGAATGGAAACATTTCGACTTTAAACTCTCAAGCAAAATGAGAGATTTTAGTTTTGTGGTTTGTTTTTGTTCTCAAGAAGCAAAGTGAGAGAGATGGACAGGATGGAATAAACAACAAGCTTTACAAATACTGTATATGAATATATAACTGAAATGATGCCATACCTGGTACTTTCTTCGGTTCTTCTGCATTTGTTCCTAAAATCAAAAACAAATAATGTAAGGTTTTAGAGAAAGAAAACTACCGCTGTAATTGTGAGCAACTACAGTTATTAGTATGTACTGGAAATGCATTGCTTATGTAACATTATGCTTATATTCTCATTACGTGAATACAAGATTTCTGCTACAACATGCACATGAGCGTTTATTTGACGTTTAGTGGGTCACTTCAGCAGCTGCCATTATAAAAATATTGCAAAGATAAACTTCTTCAAATACCTTCTTTTGTCAGTCTCTCCATAGTTTCCTCCTCACAAACTGAAATGAGAGAATTTCATTTTGAGGGTTTAATTACCAATTTATTCACACAAATACTCCACTTGATTAACCACAATAAATTCTGATGTTAAGCTGATTCATTTAATCATTTAGTAGACGCTTGAATCCAAAAAGACTTACAAATGAGGAAAATATAAGCATTTTCATATGTATTTCTGAATGTTAAAATGATGCACATGTAGTTTACTTACTTTCTTTAGCTGGTTTCTTCCCTGAAAAAAAAGCAACACTTAAGAATAAAATACCTGCATAAAAACCATCTGAAGATACAATTTAAATAGTTTAAACTATGATTGTACCTGTTAGTTTCTCTCTGTATTTGTAGAGGATGAACACAACCGAACCCAGAAGAGCACAGATGAGAAAAGTGAGGAAAAGAGCCTTCCATGAACCTGATGGATCTGAGAATTAGAAACCAGATGAATCTAAACACCTTCAAAATATATAAATCAATTACAGTAAAGTAGAAACATATTTTTAAAACTCTTTTAACATAAAAATGCTGTTTGCAACCCATTTTTCTTCTAAAACAAGACTGAGAACATCTCGGTTATGTAAGGAGGGAACGGAGACAATCGATGAATTGGGATCTCGCTTAGAGAGACCAATCCACTTAGAGTGTAAACTAAACGAGCCAATGCACATTGGCATTTCATTTAGACTATCAGTTGGGTTCTAATTTCTTAGGCTCAGGGTCAAAGGTAATTTCTAAAGTGGTTTCTCTAAGTAACCCCTGCACTCCAGCTCATTTGTGTTAAAGCACTGTGAGGTCATTCTGTCAATCCAGTAACTTGTTTCAGTTTTTGGTTTGTCTGATACAAGCATCACACTGCTCGTAATGTTCATCTATTTTGTGCATCAACTGGCATAAAAATAGGAATTTCTTTAGTTGTGTCAGACTTTCAAAACAATCAGATCAGATAATGGCAAATATTCTTGATTATCTTCTTTTAATAAGAAAAAAAAGCAATGGTTTGTGTTACTCTTGTATGGAGCCTATTTAGTGGCTTTGGTGCAAAACCTTCACATTTTACCTAAGAAAATTAAAACTGCTTAATTTGCTTCATGGTATTTATTCAGTAGATTGTCACTCTGCAGAATGGAAACATTTCGACTTTAAACTCTCAAGCAAAATGAGAGATTTTAGTTTTGTGGTTTGTTTTTATTCTCAAGAAGCAAAGTGAGAGAGATGGACAGGATGGAATAAACAACAAGCTTTACAAATACTGTATATGAATATATAACTGAAATGATGCCATACCTGGTACTTTCTTCGGTTCTTCTGCATTTGTTCCTAAAATCAAAAACAAATAATGTAAGGTTTTAGAGAAAGAAAAGCAATGGTTTGTGTTACTCTTGTATGCAGCCTATTTAGTGGCTTTGGTGCAAAACCTTCACATTTTACCTAAGAAAATTAAAACTGCTTAATTTGCTTCATGGTATTTATTCAGTAGATTGTCACTCTGCAGAATGGAAACATTTCGACTTTAAACTCTCAAGCAAAATGAGAGATTTTAGTTTTGTGGTTTGTTTTTGTTCTCAAGAAGCAAAGTGAGAGAGATGGACAGGATGGAATAAACAACAAGCTTTACAAATACTGTATATGAATATATAACTGAAATGATGCCATACCTGGTACTTTCTTCGGTTCTTCTGCATTTGTTCCTAAAATCAAAAACAAATAATGTAAGGTTTTAGAGAAAGAAAACTACCGCTGTAATTGTGAGCAACTACAGTTATTAGTATGTACTGGAAATGCATTGCTTATGTAACATTATGCTTATATTCTCATTACGTGAATACAAGATTTCTGCTACAACATGCACATGAGCGTTTATTTGACGTTTAGTGGGTCACTTCAGCAGCTGCCATTATAAAAATATTGCAAAGATAAACTTCTTCAAATACCTTCTTTTGTCAGTCTCTCCATAGTTTCCTCCTCACAAACTGAAATGAGAGAATTTCATTTTGAGGGTTTAATTACCAATTTATTCACACAAATACTCCACTTGATTAACCACAATAAATTCTGATGTTAAGCTGATTCATTTAATCATTTAGTAGACGCTTGAATCCAAAAAGACTTACAAATGAGGAAAATATAAGCATTTTCATATGTATTTCTGAATGTTAAAATGATGCACATGTAGTTTACTTACTTTCTTTAGCTGGTTTCTTCCCTGAAAAAAAAAGCAACACTTAAGAATAAAATACCTGCATAAAAACCATCTGAAGATACAATTTAAATCGTTTAAACTATGATTGTACCTGTTAGTTTCTCTCTGTATTTGTAGAGGATGAACACAACCGAACCCAGAAGAGCACAGATGAGAAAAGTGAGGAAAAGAGCCTTCCATGGACCTGAGAAACAGAAACCAGACGAATCTAAACACCTTCAAAAAATATAAATCAATTACAGTAATAAAGTAGAAAAAAATGTATGGGATTTGGTTAGATTTTATTGATTGGATGGTTGGCAAGTAAGAGAGTAACAAGTAAGAGAGACTGATGACATCAAAGAAAATTGTTTCAGTGGTGGAGCGGAATAAAAAGGAACATGCATTCAAGAATGTATGCTAAATAAATTATATTTATAGATCAATTATATTTGCTTAAAATGTAACTTAAAGACAGAAAACCTGCAGTTAAGGTCATGGGGGGGAAAAAAAAAAGACTTACAAGTGAGGAAAATATAAGCATTTTCATATGTATTTCTGAATGTTAAAATGATGCACATGTAGTTTACTTACTTTCTTTAGCTGGTTTCTTCCCTGAAAAAAAAGCAACACTTAAGAATAAAATACCTGCATAAAAACCATCTGAAGATACAATTTAAATAGTTTAAACTATGATTGTACCTGTTAGTTTCTCTCTGTATTTGTAGAGGATGAACACAACCGAACCCAGAAGAGCACAGATGAGAAAAGTGAGGAAAAGAGCCTTCCATGGACCTGAGAAACAGAAACCAGACGAATCTAAACACCTTCAAAAAATATAAATCAATTACAGTAATAAAGTAGAAAAAAATGTATGGGATTTGGTTAGATTTTATTGATTGGATGGTTGGCAAGTAAGAGAGTAACAAGTAAGAGAGACTGATGACATCAAAGAAAATTGTTTCAGTGGTGGAGCGGAATAAAAAGGAACATGCATTCAAGAATGTATGCTAAATAAATTATATTTATAGATCAATTATATTTGCTTAAAATGTAACTTAAAGACAGAAAACCTGCAGTTAAGGTCATGGGGGGGAAAAACTAATGTAAACGATCACAGGCCTAGCATTCAAGCCAATTTGATCACTTTGTTTGTGGTATCTACAAATATCCATGTTCTCTAACCTGAAGACACGATTCCCTTTATGTTCAGTCTTCCTTCTTTTACTTCTCCAGTTCTGAGAGAGACTGAACATGAGACCAGTTGAGCGTCTGAGAGAGAGACGGCCGTCCAGCTGTGGACAGAGAACATCTCATCTGCTCCAATAGTTTAAACTATGATTGTACCTGTTAGTTTCTCGCTGTATTTGTAGAGGATGAACACAACCGAACCCAGAAGAGCACAGATGAGAAAAGTGAGGAAAAGAGCCTTCCATGGACCTGAGAAACAGAAACCAGACGAATCTAAACACCTTCAAAAAATATAAATCAATTACAGTAATAAAGTAGAAAAAAATGTATGGGATTTGGTTAGATTTTATTGATTGGATGGTTGGCAAGTAAGAGAGTAACAAGTAAGAGAGACTGATCAAAGACATCAAAGAAAATTGTTTCAGTGGTGGAGCGGAATAAAAAGGAACATGCATTCAAGAATGTATGCTAAATAAATTATATTTATAGATCAATTATATTTGCTTAAAATGTAACTTAAAGACAGAAAACCTGCAGTTAAGGTCATGGGGGGAAAAAACTAATGTAAACGATCACAGGCCTAGCATTCAAGCCAATTTGATCACTTTGTTTGTGGTATCTACAAATATCCATGTTCTCTAACCTGAAGACACGATGCCCTGTATGTTCAGTCTTCCTTCTTTTACTTCTCCAGTTCTGAGAGAGACTGAACATGAGACCAGTTGAGCGTCTGAGAGAGAGACGGCCGTCCAGCTGTGGACAGAGAACATCTCATCTGCTCCACGACTGTGAGACGATCCTCCAGGACGGAGAGCCCTGTGGTTACATACGTAACCTGAGATGTTCCCTTTTGAGGGAACTTCAAACTGCTTCCTCTAGGGGTTGCTATGGGGAACCCACCCACAGCACCATGCTGAGGGGAGTGCATGCCACGGCGAGCACTAAGTAACCAACTCTCTCTCAACTCAACTCAACTCTAAGTAACATAGCCATGGAAGTTGCCCCTAGGACGCCTTGACGGCTGTCAGTGACATTATCCCCTCCAGCCAAGGGCCTGAGCTGCATACCCTAAACAACTTACCTGATAGTGGCTGGGCTGGGAAGTCCAAGCCTAGGGCAGAGCTCAAAGGCTTGGAATCAAAAGAAAGAGATTCCTTTGAGGGGATACGGCCAGGTGTCTAAAACCCAGACCCTGGCCTGTCACCCAGGGGGGCTACTGCCGGCTCTGAATGAGCTTGCTCAAAGAACTGACTCGACAGATCTTTGGTAGCAACACCCTGCTCAGAAATGTATCAGCAGAGATACATTAGTTGAGTGGAGCCCAAGGCGAGAACCGGGGCCTAAGCCAACTCAGAGAATGGGAACGAGGCTAACAGCGCATTACCCTTACCATACAGGATTTTAGAAAGTGCGCAGAATGCTTAGCGTGCACATTTACCACAATGTGGATTTTAGAAAGTGTACGGAGGCTTAGCGTGTGCACTTACCATAGCATAGATTTAGAAACACCATTGCTTAAAGGGTAACCGAGGCTGTATTAAGCCAGCCTAGGGGCCTTATGTGTGCATCTGTTCACAGACCACAAATGCTCAGACGGGAATGGCAGGCTTAAAGATAACCCTCTGAGGTGAGGGGAGCACTGCCTGGCTTGACCCGAATAGAGGCAGCTTATCAGGGAAGCAGCAAGTGGCACAAAACCTCCTGATGTCACTGCCACGGAGCTCAAGTGTGGAGGGTTCAATCCCTAGCGAGGAGAGAGAGAGGAACCCAGCTCGACCGAAGCGACCAATAGCCCAGGGTAGAGGACCTAACTCTAGAGTCGAGAGGAGGACTCACCCAGTCTGCCCAGGACCGGCGAGCTCAAAGGGACCCTCCCGCAGTGAGGGGAGCACAGCCATGTCCGAAATCAGAAATGGGATCCTGCTAGAAGGGGATCACACATTTCTAATGGAACAACAGGGTCCCAACATAAAGGCAACTGACCAAGGAGGCGACAGAGATGGGCCTAACACTTAGTTCATTGCAAATGGGGTCCTACGGGAGCAGTGCTCTCGGCTCTCAAGCTGAAGCAGGTCCTTACAGCACATACTGGGAGCGACTCATAGCTAACCCTCACAGAGAGGGGAGCATTTCTCTTCTCGACCAGAAGGGAGGCGCTAGATTAGAAGGGGTTACCTAGCAGTGCCCAATAAGAGACAGTCCACTGGAGCAGCTCATCTCGATAGAGAGCGTGGGTCCCGTATAACCAGACCCGATAGAATCTGAAGAAATAGCAGGACCCAATAACCATTCATGCAAATAGAGCTTACTGCTCCTCAGAGCAGAAGCACAAAGGAGGGGTTCCCACAGAAACACAAATCTCTCTTACCTCAGGGAACGCAGTGTACTCCAGCCCACTACGCAGAGGGGTAATTACTGGTTCAACCATAAGGGCAGTGTGACAGTGAGGAACCACCGGCCCGATCGTCTATGGAGCGTTGAGCTCCTCAATGCCTCAGCGAGAGGAGCTCTAGCTCAGAGAATGTGTATGAAGGTTAAGGAATGATTCAAATCTCGGGAGAACCCTCAGGGTGAGAAATGAGTAGTTCACACCTGGCCAGATGATAGGGAGCATGTCGCGATGCATGTCCTCAAAAGAGTACTAGCCCACGAGAGGGACTCATAGGTCCTGAGGTTGCAGCGTTACACTGGGGACCTGATGCTGGGAGGCTTCCTCAGAAGCCTAGGCTGCGTGTCCAAGCCGAAGATGAGGGCTATCACCAGCCTGGAGCCAGAACCGATGAGTGAAACCATCACTGTAATCGGTCAACAGCAGGAGGTCCTGACTTAGCAGGTGGGTCAAACCTAAAAGTCAGAAAAACAGAACAGGTCCGATTAGTGCTGCAGAGAAAGGCTAGCATCGAATACACAAGAACTAGCAGTAGAGTAGATAAAAATGGATTGTACTCACTACCCATGGCTCTCGCGCATGACTCAGGCTCATGGATATAGGCTGGAGGCGAAGTCCCAAGCCTGGACCTTCATGGTAATGAAGGACTTAAAGGCAGCCTTCTTAAACTTCACGACATTCCTCGTAAGATGAGCACGTTCAATTCATGCTTATCCCTCACAAGAAATAAGCAATGAATGCAGAGCGCATCCAACTCCCTCAAGAGCTGAACGCACTTGCTCTACACCACACACACACAAACAGCACGTGAGCCGTGTGGAACTGCAGTCATCGGAGCAAAGCCTCTGGCAAGAGAACATGCACTCCTTGTCGTGCTTAACTTAACGCTAACATAAACAAATGGTCAGTGAAGACGAAGAAGAGCATGACGTGTTATTCCGGCGCCCTTTTATACTGTGATTGTGCAGGGTAATGATGGCATAGGCTGTCGCCGGCCAATGTTATTGTTGTTTTTAGATGTATGCTTCAGACACCGGTCACGCTGAAGGCGTTCCCCATAGCGACCTCTAGAGGACGCAGTTCGAAGTTCCCTCGAAAGGGAACTGTAAATTAATACAAGAACACATACAGACACTTCATATTTAATGGTTTTTGATGATTTGTTAATTGCATTTATATATATTATACTTTCAATAAAACATCTGCATTTCATTTTAAAAGCTGTTTTTATGCATGTTTTGGCCTGAGGTTCTGTTGCATTTACACAGTTTTGACCAGCAGGCGTCACCAGCGAGTGTCGTTTCGAGTGTCCTCAACCATAGTTCTCATTATGCAGGAGATAATTTTAATGTTTGCCTGAAGTATGGCTTTAATAAGGTGTAGATGCTTGCTTACCAGTGATTTTGAGAACCACCTCTTCACTCCCATATGAACTTTCTCCACTCACGTAACAGCGAAAAGAACCATCATCTTGTACTCTGAGTTTGTCCAGCCGTAGAGAGACGTCTCCATCCTTCAGTCCACCAGACTGATCTGACCGCAGAGCCAAAGAGGTTCGGTTCCTGTACGTTTCCTCCTGGACGTCTTGGATCTTCCCATGATTATAGAGCAGAACAGGGTTGCGGAACTGATCACGACGGTACCAGCGGATCTCCAGAGCTTCAGCGTTCTCAGGAGGAGAGATCCAGCAGGGAAGAATCACTGTGGATCCCACATGAGCCGCTATAGGATCACCAGGAACCCCTACAGTGAACGACACTGAGAGACAGAGAATGAATTATTAATTTACTACAAATATTTAAGGTACAGTCGAATTTACAATTGTTTTGCGAATTTTTCAGTCATTTTATTAGGGATCCACGCGATTGGGAATTCTGTGTGAGGGTGAAAGATTTTGAAACAGGTTCTAGTTTTTTTGTGTGCAATCTGCAGATAATAATAGTTATTTGCTCGTATTACTGTTATTTGGCTGGCTAGTTTTTTTAAGGAAGAAATCTGCTTGTATTTTGACTTAGTGTCACATTACCATAACATAAGTACAGTCTATATGTAATAGTGCCATAATATATCATAGAAATTGATCATGTATATGAATTACTCGGAAGCCATGAAACTAAATGAAATCCAAGCATGTTCTTACCTGCAGTCTCTATGAGGAGATTCACCACGACAATAATCGACAGCATTCCTGTGAAATATTACAGACAGACTCCAATAAAACAAACTCTGAGGGAGATTCTTCCAGAACAGGGTAGAGCAGGAAGTGTTGTAACACTGTCATCAATATCATACACTCCCATCACATTTTGTAGCTTACAGTAGAAGTGTCATGTGACTGTGAGCAACATTGTAGCGTTCAAGACCAAAAAACTGATTTTCAGGAAAAAAAATATTTTTGATTAAGATTTTTTTTTCTTTTCATTGTGCAATTACAATTATTTACAATTATCATACAATTATTTGACTTGCATACCCTAAGCTGTTTCTCTAGTTTAATTTGATACTTTGCATTCATGCTAACTTCAAACCCACATGCTAAAACAGCTAGCTATCCTGTGGCTGCTCGGGGTGGGTATAGGTAAAAACCCATTGAGTCCAGTTATCCAATCACATCCTCTGTTGTGGCTGTCATGTGAGGTTTTTGTTGTGCATCAAGGGATTCATGTGGTAAATGTGGTACATTTTTAGAATTGATGTGTGTTTTTATGTGATATTCCAAAAAATGTACATACAAATAGGTG